CTTCCAACATCAGATGCACTTGCTTTTACTCACTGAGATTTTTCAATTTGATGGAAATAAAAAAAGTTGTAAATTTTGTAGACACCTCTTAATACATTCTATATGTAGCATACCGCTGGTAGAGCCACTGGTAATTTGGGCTACTTTCCTCCCCTTAGCACACACACACAGCCAGGTACACAGCATATTTGGCAGTCTTTCGCTGGTTCAGAAATCAGTCCAGGGGTTTCTTTTTGTAAGTTTTATTGGGGAATGATTAACTTGGATGGGGATAAGGAGCATAGGATACCCTGGAACTGTAGAACTGCTAACTTCCTAGCTTCTCTTGCCCAACTCGTGAAAAACATTTCACTCCTGCTTGCCTATACTTGCACTGCTTCTAGCTCTACTCTCCCAGCAAAACTCCCACAGAGTCTTCATACTACTTGTGACCTATGACTAAGGCACCACACAGTCACTCTTGCAGCACTGTGGTCTTGTACTCACTCAGCCACAGGATCATCGTTGCCTCATGCCAATATCCACCAGGCTCTCAGACTCACTTAGCATGTGGAGAACTTGGACTCTCTCCCATAGCTTCCTCCCCGGCTCTCCTCTCATGAGCTTTCTCCTGACCCCTTGGATTCCTTGGATGCTCTTCGTTTAGGCCACCCAACTAAGCCTAGCTGGGACCTTGATGTCTTCAACTGGCTCTCTGCTCTGGCTGCTGCCCTGAAGGGCAAGGTCCCTCAATAGGGGTTTCCTTCAGTGGGCTGGACCCTGGGATGCTGCCTTATGCCACCATACTGCAGACTCCCCTGCCACTCAGGCTTCAGACTATTTTATAGAGTCTTCTCCCCACCTTCTGGGCACACCTTCCAAAGGATTGGCCGGAGTTCCATAAAAATTCCGACTGCAACCTCTGCTCTCCCTCCCTGTTCTAGAAATCCCTACAATATAGGGAGTAGTGGCAGAGCAGCAGCAGCCTGTAAAAACCTAACCAATCAACCCCTGCTCCATTGATTACAGTGGAGCCTAACTAAATTTACCTGGCAACCTTCCCTAAACCTAGGAGGGTGCTACATACATAACATATAATATATCACAAATTCCACCTATAACACCCACAGCAGGTATGCTGTGGGATATGGAACTGCAGCACAGCCATTTAGAAATGAGCCTTATGACAAGCACTGCAAGGCTAAATATAAAATGAATATTTATACAGATGACACATTTATTAACATTAATTTAAAGAATGAGAATATTTATTATTTATTTACCTTTCGGAAATTTAAGTGGTGCTATGCATATTATATGTAATCATCAGTCCCTGCCCTCAAAGAGCTTAAATCTATAGTTCACATGCTACATACATACACATACTAAGGCCATTTTAGATAGGAAACAATTAACCTACCAGCATGTCTTTGGAATATTGGAGGAAACCTGAGCCCCCAGAGGAAACCCACGCAAATACAGAGATAATTTGTAATGAAGCAATAGCTTTTATAAATAACAACACACATCTTCACACATCTCCGGCTTTATTACTCATCTCTTAGCCCACGGAATTAATCAGTGTACACTGTCAATAAACCAACAAAATATAGAAGCTGCTGGGCATCTGCTGGTTAGCAGGGTAGGCATATGTTAAAGGCTAGAACTGAGTCAATAGCATTGCAAATAGAAATTGAATAGGAATATTTTAATAATCCTTTTGGTTTGTGCAAAGAATGATTGAAAGGTGAAAAGTCTCTCCTTCAGCAGATATTTTAAGACCAATAGCCAAGGCCTTCACACACGTGGCCAGTAGGACCTCCAACAGCATATAGTCCATTTAGTCCTTCTGTTACTTTTTATGTATCTATCCCTATTTTGCCTATACAGTAGGTCCATTTTAACATGGACCTTACACCTAAATAATTGATCTACATGACTGTCTAATTACAGCTTGGCATTACATTTTTGAAGATAATATACTGTAGGACACCTTTGCCGAGCTTCTGTTTGCACAGTATACCAAACTTTAAAGAAGAACTCTAGGATAGGCAAAAACAAAAATCACCGATTAGTACACCCCCCTACACATAACACTAAATGGGTTTTGAAAATCCTTACCATTTAGGAGAAAAGTCTAATTGAATTTTCTGTAATTCAAAAGATAACAGCATCTGCTCTGCCAAGGAGGGGGTGTAACAGCAGGGATTACATCATATCCTCTCCTCTCTCTGCATTAAAAGGAAACTACATTTCCCATCAACCACAGGAAATTGTAGTGAATGTGGGCGGGTACACCAGGCCTGTATATGTTGAATGTGTCTGAGAGTGTCGGTCCATACATCACAGGAAGTGGGGCTGAATTACATCACTGCTTTCTAGAGAAAGAACTACAGAACCCACATGAAAGAAAAATATATTTGAAATATATTTAAAAAATATTCATCCCAAATACATTGCCATATATTTGAATACTACAATGTTGGTCATATTCAATATATTTTAAAATATATTTTTTTTTATATATATATATCTCCTAGATTGTAAGCTCCAAGGAGCAGGGCCCTCGAATCCCTCTTGTATTGAACTGTATTGTTGCTGTATTGTCTCCCGTTATATTGTAAAGCGCTGAGCAAACTGTTGGCGCTATAGAAATCCTGTATAATAATAATAATATATATACTGCATGTTGAAATGCATTTTTATTACAAAATATCTGAAAAATATTTTTAAAAATGCATTTCAAATATACTGTATGTTTTTAAAAATACAAATCTACATTTTTGGAATGCATTTACAAATATATGTAAAAATATATGTTAAAATGACTTTTTTATATGTTATTTCTAAAAATATATTTTTTTTAAAATATATTCTTCAGATTTTTTTAACATATAAAAAAGTAATTTTAACATATATTTTTCATATATTTTGTAATAAAAACGCATTTCAACATTCAGTGTGTGTGTGTATATATATATATGTATAAATGTATATATATATATATATATATATATATATTGAATATGGCCAAAATTGTAGTATTCAAATATATGGCAATATATTTGGGAAGAACATTTTTAAAATATATTTCAAATATATTTTTCTTCCATATGGGAAGGGATGTGCCCAGACCAGTGGCTGTGGGAATAGGAAGCATAGTAGTCATCAGTCTTACAAACAGGAAAACAATGAGAATTAATGGTTTGATTTGAAAATGAATAGGCTATTTACAGAACAACCACAGAGTGAATTAGAAGATGGAGGACATACTCAGTAAAGGTAGTAAATCTGCAACAAGGACAAAGAAGAAGAAGCTTTTGTCCGGAGTTCTGCTATAACAACTTTACTTAAAACTGTTATTTAAAGTAACCCTTGCACCTAAAATGTAAGTTCCACTTATTAAAGCAGAGCTAAACTGTATCTGAGCACCACAAACTGAAGACGCTATTTCATTCATTTTTAATATTCAGGCAAACTCACCCATCCATCCATGTCTCCATGATTTATTTTGTTAAGAAATCACTTTGAAAAACACTCCCCTAGCAACAGCCATCTTGAATAAGGGCAGATGATTCATGTAGCATTTACTTCCTGGAATCCATTTGCCCTTAGCTCAGGCATGAGTGTGTGCTTAGCCGAGGAAGCCCTTCCTCCTCTCCTACAGATGAAAGGAAGAAAAATCCTATTTAGACTTATGGAATTAATTACATTATTTTGGCATAGGCCAGAAACCAAGAAGCAACTAAAGAAATGTAAAAAAAAAAAACAAGTTTAAAACAAATAAATATAATATACCTTCCTATCTATTTACTAATGCTAGCAGCATAAAGATCAAAAATAGTTACTGTTCATTTACAGAGCTTAGTTCCACTTTAAATGCTACCCCCTACCTATGCCAAAATGCTGCAATCCATGTAACACAATTATATTTTACATTTTCTCTCCAATTTTTGTTTTGAAATCCATTGTTTTAGCATGAGGGAAGGGTCAGTATATAATAAGCAGTATTTTGGGTGCGAGGTTAGTCTTAGGACTTGTGCACACCAGATTGTGGTGCGGGAAACCCGCTTTCCGTGTGTGTTTCCTGCACCGCATTCAAAACACTGTGCATGGATCACATAGTACCAGTTGCAATGCATTTTTACAAGTCGTTCATGCACTACATTTATTGCAATCCAGTGCGATTTCAGCTTATTCAAATGAATGGACTAAAAACTGCACTGACCGTGCACCACGTTCCTGTTCGATTCAGGTGTGAACCAAATGCTAGACTCCATGTACACGGGACACTTCTGAATGATGGAAACTGACTGCTGGAAAATGTAGGTCAAAAAACGTCTGTTTAGCTGCGTTTGCATACCGCGTTTATGTGCGTTTGTGTTTAGAAGCGTTTTTTAAAGATAACCTCAAGAGACCTTCCAAAATGCCCAGAATGCACTGTAAAAATTTTACTATTTCACACAATTTGAGAAAAATAGAGAGAGCAGTATTTGTTGAGATTATCTGTCTTTTTTTTTGTGGTGTTTGGATGTGTTTCAGCTCATCTCTGTGCAGAAATGATTACAGCAGTGTCTAACATATTTTCTTTCATGCGAAACCTCAGAGTATGGTGTACCAGGTCCATTTGAGTACTGGGAAAATGCTTTGCATGCATTTTTCATAATGAAAAAAGGCTCTGGACAGCATATGGAAATGGAAGAGTTAAAAAAAACTTCCAAACGCAAAAGCTTATAAAACGCAGTTAGCCGCGTTTACAAGCATTTGGCGTTTGAAACACTGATAAAATCTACTCCTGAACGCAAGTTTGGTGCATTACAAAAACGACTGTAAACTCAACTGCCTGTAATTGACTGTAAACGACATAGTGTACATGGACACATAGGAAAACATTAGGGAGAGTTCAGGGGCTGCTGAAAAAAAACACAGAAAAGCTCCTAAACGTGAGTTTATCAGCTGCAGTGTACATGGAGCCTAAAAGTATCACTAAACCCACAACAGAAAAATCAGTCTGTGTATACAGAAAAGCATGCTTGTTATACTCACTGTGGAACCTAAGGGGTTAATCCTCCACATTGTGTAAAAAGGCTGTTTAATCCTGACTTACCTGAACCTCCCCTTCTTCCAGTGTCCCCCTCTTATCTCCTGATAAGACATATCGTGTAGAGTCACTCTGCACATGCTCAGTTTGGTGTGTATTGTTAGAGAGGTTTTTTTTGTTTACTGGGAGAGTGCATGTGATCAGCACAGGGCCAATCAGCACTGTCCAGACAGAAGTCAGGAGCTCTGCATCCTCCTAGAGCAGAAGGAAAACTCCTCCTACAAGCTTTAACCAGTGCTTGGATGGGCACTGATAGAAGTCACAAGACTGCTGTAACTGCTGATGAGAAAAGGTATTTAGCAGTTTATATTTACTAAAATAATTGCATTTCCATGTTCTGTGTACTGTGGGAGACCAGATATTGTGAATGCAGGGTCCTGGGTTTAGTAACACTTTAAGTCATAGTTCATTGAGAAGTAGCATTACATACAAAGTATATATTTTTCAGCAGTGTAAAGGTGTCAGAATTTGGTATACGATGTCTCATAAGCTCAGCATCCGTGTCCTGCAGCATAATCTTACAAAATTGGGAGCTATTCTGTAATTGGGCAATTATATAACATTATTTTCAAAACCAGTATGTAAATATTGGCTAAAATGCAGTAATGAGCCTCTCAAGCTTTTATGGTCTTAGTATTCATGTTGTGCATCAAGGATTCCTAGTGCAGAGATATCTTTTTTGCTAGCCTCCTAATAATGAATAAAGTAACTAAATGGCATTGTTCAGGCTGATCACAAAACGTATGTTAAAGTCAAATTAAACCCTTGTTAAAAATCACTTGACTACATAGAGTTTTATTAATAAGCCTGGATCGCCTGGTGTTCTTTTTTCCTTAAAGTTCAATTTTAAATGTACTTTTTAATTCGCTGTGTGCTTCCTGGCGATTTTGTGTCTTTACTTGGCACAGTGGTGATGTGAAGGTCAGCAGCAGGTACCAATGAGAGCTATGTCCTGCACTTTTAGGTCTCATGTACACTGCAGCTGATAAATTCACGTTTAGGAGCTGTCAGCATTTTTTTCAGCAGCCCTGAACTCTCCCTAATGTTTCTTATATGTCCATGTACACTATGTCGTTTACAGTCGTTTACAGGCAGTTGAGTTTAGTCTTTTTTTGAACGCAACAAACTTGCGTTCAGACATTGATTTTATCGGCATTTCAAATGCAAAATGCTTGTAAACATGGCTAACCGCGGCAAATCGCGTTTCTAAGCGTTTGCGTTTAAATTTTTTTTTTTAACTCTTCCAGTTCCCAATGCTGTCCAGAGCCTTTTTTCATCATGAAAAATGCATGCAAAGAGCTTTCAAGGTGCTCAGATGGACAAAACACTGAACACAGGATGTTCCTACCAAGCTTGTCACACATTGTAATGACCAATTCACACCTCAGACTTCTCCTACCCTTGGAAACAAAAGATATGTTAATGACCATTCACACCTCAAATTCCTCAGTAAGACCTCCAGCCAGGTGACCTTAATAACTCACTCCACAGACACCTTTCCCACCCTTGGAAACAAAAGAAATGTTAATGAGGAACTCATACCTAATTATCTCAACACCTACTGCTGTCTCTGCTTCTGCTGTGTGTATTTCTCTGAAACAGTCTGAAATAGTTAATAATTTACCACTTTTCAGTGCATTCTGGGTATTTGGGAGGTTCTCCTGTGCTTATCTTTAAAAAACACTTCTAAACGCAAAAGCGCATAAACGCATTATGCAAACGCGGCTAAACAGATGTTTTTTAACCTTCGTTTTCCAGCAGTCAGTCTCCATCGTTCAGAAACGATCCCGTGTACATGGGGCCTTAGTCAACAAGGCAGCAAACAAAGTTTCAATGTAGGAGAAAGTCCATCCCATAAATATATCAAAACATCTGTTCTTTCGACACATCTAAACTCAGGTACTTACTGTATGCACTCACTGGCCACTTTATTAGTTACACCTTGCTAGTACTAGGTTGGACCCCCTTTTGCCTTCATTCTTCATGTTATAGATTCAACAAGGTGTTGGAAACATTCCTCAGAGATTTTGGTCCATATTGACATGAGTTACTGTTGTCTTTCTGTCATCTCAAACCAGTCTGCCCATTCTCCTTTGACCGCTTACATCAACAAGGCATTTTAATCCACACAACTGCCACTCACTGGATATTTTCTCTTTTTTGGACCATTCTCTGTAAACCCTAGTGTGACAGACCCAGGACAGGGGCTTTTGGAGGGGACTGCAGGCTAGCCTCTTGCTTACTGACTATGGCCCTGAAATCTGAGGGGGCTCTATTCTTTGGTGGGTGCCTGGGGGGCACTATTTTGGAGTAGTCTACTTTGGATTCAAATGTCTCCCCAAAACACACAGACTCTGAGAACTGGAGGACCAGGACACAGATTTGGGGTCTCTGTGCCCAAACTAGCATTGACTACTTCAAACCCCCCATCCTACCTAGATTCAGAGACTCTAAGAAGATGTTGATATAATCAGCTCAAAGCAAACTCATGCTGAGGACTCTTGCTCTAATCTGTTTATTAAGGTGTTATGTGTTTACTATCTACTCCAATTGTGTGCCTCCTAGGTGTGCATTCCCATTGTTAATTCAGTTTCCTATTGTTTGTCTGTTGGAAAGTCCTTTTGGAGATGCCTACATGATAGGATTTGACTGATGTCAGCTTCACCTCGTTATCTAATCAGAGTGAGATGTTTATCTCAATGTGTAATATTTGTTTTATTGTGGAATCTGCCCCTATTTCTGGAGTGTAAAAAAACTGTATTTCTCTTCAATAAAATTAGTTCCTGTTTGGCATCTAAGCTAGTCTTGGGTGCAATGCCCGGTTATAATACCTTGGTCCTGTGTCCCACGGTGACGAAGTGGTTCTCTGACTAAATCACCGAATTGGGTTGACAGGCGTTCCATCACACCTAAAGATGGCTGTGCGTGAAAATCCCAGTAGATCAGCAGTTTTTGAAATACTCAGACCAGCCCGTCTAGCACCAACAACCATGCCATGTTCAAAGTTACTTAAATCCCCTTTCTTCTCCATTCTGATGCTCAGTTTGAAGTTCAGCAAGTTGTCTTCACCAGGTCTAGATGTCTAAATGCACTGAGGTGCCGCTATGCGAATGGCTGATTAGCAATATGTGTTGCCAAGCAATTGAATAGATGTACCTAATAAAGTGGCCATTCAGTGTAGTTCTGTACCCCCTTAGCTGGGCGAGGTAGAGCCAGCAACATTGATGAGAATATTTTTTTTTTGTTTTATTTTTTTTTTTGTCTTTACTCCCTGTTGATCTCTCAATACTGTAATATCTATTATGGATGGAGATACCCTTTAAATTAAATACAAAATAAACATCTGAATTCTGTACAGTCATATAACAAGCTAATAATAGCACCAGTCTTACATTTCATGAATAATCAATCAACAGAACAGTCCGCTGGTAGAGGAAATTTTCAGGATTGAAAGTTGCCAGGACTCATTTGAACTCATGCTGTTTCCACTGTTCTGACTTTCCCCAGGAGCCAAGTGATGTCTCTGTGTTTAATCTGTAGTGACATGCAGTCTGCAGAGTGCTTCATATTTCACTCTCCAGGATGTTACTGTGTGCAAAAACTTTATTTGAAAAAAAAAGTTCCTTGTATCCTAGTATAGGATTCATAAGCCGTAGCTCAGGCACTGGAAGAATAAGGTTACATTAAAACCCACAAATAAACGAAGATTGAAGCCAAACTGAAGTCTAACAATTTTTTTTTTCACACACGTGACGCAATTGAACTCAACTGTATCCATATTTGATTGCCCGCCCTCCCCACATGGTGATCTATGGAGAGTTCAGTGCTCAAGTATGGTTTTCACTCACTCTACAGCGAACTGTTTCAGACCGCAAGTGAATTGCGTCTGGGACCACCTCTTCCAAGCGGTCCTAGGCACAGTACACCTACACCCCGGTCACACTGGATGAGAATTGGCATGCGATTTGCCTGCAATGCGACTTGCAAATTGCTTGCCAAGTCACACCCTATTGTCCGCAATTACTGCGGTCATATCGGTTTGATTCTGCCTGTTGGCGCAGCACCGAATTCTAAAGTAGTACATGCACTACTTTTGCTGCGATGTGCATAGACATCTGTGTCAGATGTCCTGCAAATCGTACCTGAACTTGACGTGTCACCCGATTTTGAAATCATGCGACTTCACTGTAAGTCGCACAAGTTCAATGACGGGTTTGATGTGACCGGGGTGTAAACTACTCAGGCTACACAAATGAATTGCAGCAAATGGGTGAAATGGGCACAGTTAAAACCAGTGCAAGTGCACCATAACAGTCCTTTATTCCCTCATGTTATGATTAGTAACAAATTTTTGTTGTGAAAAGAGCATTTAGACTGCACATTGAAATCTTCCATATAACAGTTTATTAAAAGATAAGTCCTAATGCACACCTGACGTTTTTACAGCGGCTGTATTTGGCTTTTGACGTTTTTTTCTACAGCCAGTAAAATCTCCAGCATGTTATAGTAGAGTGTATGGGGGACGCATGGAATCTGCTATGGGAAACGCATGGAGTATGTTATGGGGTTTTAGAGAGTGTAAGGGGGACACATGGAGTGTGTTATGGGGTGAAGGAGAATGTATGGAGGACCCATGGAGTGTGTTATGGGGTATATGACAGTGTATGGGGGATGCATGGAGTGTGTTATGGGGTATAGGAGAGTGTATGGTAGATGCGTGGAGTGTATTATGGATGGTGAAAAGAGGACGCACGGAGTGTGTTATCGGGTATAGGAGAGTGTATGGTAGATGCGTAGAGTGTTATGGATGGTGAATAGGGGACACATGGAGTGTGTTATTTGGTATAGGTGAGTGTATGGGGGACGCATGGAGTGTGTTATGAGGTATTGGAGAGTGTAAGGGGGACACATGGAGTGTGTTATGGGGTATAGGAGAATGTATGGGGGACCCATGGAGTGTGATATGGGGTGTAGAAGAGTGTGTATGGAGGAAGCATGGGAGTGCATTATGGGGTATAGGACAGTGTATGGGGGATGCATGGAGTGTGTTATGGGGAATGCATGGAGTGTGTTGTATGGGGTATAGGAGAGTGTATGGTAGATGCGTGAAGTGTTTTATGGATGTTGAATAGGGGA